ATATCCTTGCGCGGGGGACCGACGGAGCGGGGCGTTGCCTCGCGCGTCCGCGGGGGACCGGGGAGCGGGGCTGTACGGGGACCGTAGGCGCGAGCCCCGGGCAGGTCCCCAGGAGGAGGCTTCCCTATCGGCAACTGTAAGTCAAGTTCTTTCCTCCGGTCCTTACTTCAGTCTCTCGCTTAGTTCTGCTCACCCCGCCCCGAAAGGCAGCCAGTCTCTGCCTTGGAGAAGCAACACCTGCCGCTCATCTTCGTCTTAGCCCTAGAACAGGGCTCCCACAGTAACGCCGCCCCCCCTCCCGCGAGCTGTAATTACAGGTGCTGGCGCGGGAGGGGGCCTGGGGAACGAGGCAGCCACCAACCTCACCCTCGCCAGTCCCCAGAAACTCCGAATTGACTGTGAAAAGAACACCCACCTGGATCAGTGGTGGTGCTAAATTAACGGAGCGTGCACGCCGTTAACTGTGCCAGGTTAAATTTTGCTGAACTTGGCTTATGTTTGCCGTTTTATCCTTGTCACCTGAAGCCATTGTATGCTTAAAAACATTAGCGAGAACATTGGTAGAATTACAGATTTTAAAATTTAAGCATACAAGTCAGTACTTGTGCGGTGTTTTGTACTGAACGAGGGCACACTGCTCATGTCATTCTCCGGTATAGTGACATGTACACACACGCACACACACTGCATACACTGCACAGACGGAACACACACCAGACGGCCCCCAGTATACACACTGCACTCGCACATATTACGTGCATGCACACACCAAACTCCACAAGGCACTCAGCGCGCGCGAACGCACCCACACCCACACCCCCCCACACACACACACTACATCGTACACGTGCACACACTGTACATACATGCACTGCTTAAGGAGCCTGCTGTGGAGCTTAGCTTCCCCAGTACAAAGAAATACTGGCTTGATTTTAAAGTAGGATACAATTAACACTTTGAAAGCTTTTAAGTTGAGTTTTAAAAGTGTCTTCAGAGACTTTTTAATAAAAATATATTAACGAGTTTTTAAACAACTGGTGTAATGGCTTTTTAAAAAGGAATCTTACTGAGTTAAAACAGTGGGTCTGATTGCTTTAATTCGGAACTCCCTGTCTTTCAACAAGAAGTATTTTTAATTGTTCTCTTTTTCCCCCTCTCTGAAACCCTGAAAGTTACTCTTGAACTTTTAGAAGCCAGTTGTAGGCCGGCCTTTTCTACCCGCCTTATGTGGGTGGCGCGACCGGGGCTTGGTTGCGCCCCACGGCGTTCCCTCCTGCCCCCCTGTTCTTCTGCGGGTCTCCTGGTCTGTGGGCAGCAAGGAGGGACACGCCCCCGCCCGCCCGCAAGGCCGCGGACTGAGCTCGGGGCTCGCGGTCGGGCTGTGCCTCTTCTGCCCCCTCCCGCTCCAACCCCGGCCTCTCCCGCAGGCCGTGATGCAGCTGCTCCTGCTCGTGTCCCTGCTGGTGGCCCCGGCGCCCGGGTCCTCGGTGAGTGCGGCCCTGCCGGGCCCCGGGACGACCTTGCTGGGGAGACGGGCGCGAGGGTCTCGGCAGGGAGGATGCCCGGGGCTTAGGACCGGGGAGGAAACGCCCGGTGTCTGCTGGAGACCCCCGGCGGTGTCGACAACCCCAGGAGAGGGACAAAGCCCGGGAAGATGGGGTGGGAAGAAGCCAGCCCTCAGTTGAGCTCCTTCAAAAAGAGGTGGGACCTTGAAGCCGTCTGGCAAAGGCGCCCATCTCTGCCTGCCTGGCTGCGGGGATTGCAGTTTGCAGGAATGGCACCTTCCTAGCGCCCTCCCCCTTCAGAAAGTGCTGGGTGCACGTTATGCTGGGGTGGTCTTCCAAGGCAGAAGGAAGAGGGTAATACTGGCATCAGACAAGGTGCAGGGCTAGGCGTCCCACCTGCCACCTGCCTGGAACCAAATTCCACTGCCCCTCAGCTGTTTGGACCTAGACGTTTGGGATGCCCGCCGTGCCCTGCCCCACCGAGGGGTTAGCATCGGGAGCAGGGCTATCAGTAGAACCTTCTGAGCTGATGGAAATATTCTGTATCTGTGCTGTCCAGTTAGATAGACGCTGTGTTCATGTGACTATTGAGCACATGAAATGTGGCTAATGCAATTGAGGAACTGAATTTTTTATTTGATTTCATTTTAATTTAAATAGACACATGTGGCTAGTGGCTATGGCATTCGTGCAAATTTAGAGAGTGGACACAGAAGCCAACTGGTGATCAGAGTAGCCGTTTCATTATCAGGAGCCCAAAGGACGGGGCTCCCTGGACAGCCACATGGATCCTGAGGAGATAGGGAATCTTCCACACTGCCAGACCCATGTTTGGCCCGGGGAGTGGAAGGGGGGGGGTTTGCAGACCTGGGCTTGGTCCTGGAAGCAGCTCCTGCCAAGTCTCCTGGTAGGATGGTAGGGGCAGAGGCAGCCAGACCCCTCTCCACGAGGGAGACCCACAGCCTTGACCAGACCTCTGTGAGGCAGGCAGGTGAGAGAGAAAGAACCACACTTTGCTGCCTTGGGGAGGGCTGAGGAAATGCTGCCTCTGTGGAAATGTGAGCTGAGGATGAGAAGGGCTGCAAGGGGCAGGCAGGGATGGACAACAGCGGTGGGCAGCGGGCACTCCTCCAAAGCCGGACCGATCCAGTGGGGGCTGCAATCAGAGCTGTGAGTGGGCTAGAGCTCTCCTTCCTCACGTCCTCCCCACCACCTGCCAGCTTCCCAGTCACCTCTGCCACCCCATGGGCCTTGCTCCCCAAATGCCACTTCTGAGGTCCTTGGTGCAGGCTTCCTCCTGTTGCATGATGTCCACACCTCAGGTGGAGAGGCCACAGTGCCAGTGTCAAGACCCCAGGATGAAACCCAGAGGCACCCCTAACAGCTGCGTGATCCTAAGCAAACCACCAGGCCATAGGTTCCTTTAATTTGGGGGTAACGTGCCCATCTATAGGTTGCCCTGCAGGTGAAAAGAGTCAAGGTCCACAAAGTGCCCTGGGTCCTAGTAGGTACTTTTTCACTTAGAAACACCTGAGTAGCCTTCTCCCACCTGCTGGGCTGATAGCTCTCCTGCCCTCTCCTCTACTGTCTGGGAGAAGGTGTGGCCCAGGCTCACAGCTCAGCTGCCTGGGTTTCTGGTTCTAGCTGGGGCAGGATCCACACAGGATACCTGAGCACTTCTGGGCCGTTCTAGTGCTGACGGGTCAGCTTGAACAGAGTGAGTAGGGGATTAAGGAGAGTAAAGCAAAGATGCAGCCTTACTGCCCCCAGTCCCCAGCCTGTCAGGGAGAGGCTTCCTGAGGTGATGGACTTCCAGTCCCCCCACCCTCACCTGCACCCACCCTCTCACACACTCACACCTAAGCACCTTGGGCAGCCGGTGCCCCTGGAATAGCACAGCAGGAAAGGGGGCTCCTGAGTAGTCCCAGGTGGGAGTTGCAGGAGGAGTGGGTGGGGTGCTGAGCACAGCAAGCAGCAGGCAGGTGAGGACAGGCCAAGGTGAGGGCAGGCTGGACCAGCTCATTCTGGCTTCACACCATCAGCCTGTGGTTTGGGTAATTATAGGGAAACAAAATGTGCCTGTGCCGCTTGTTCGTGGCTGAAAGTGCTTTTTTCCCTCAGACAGTGTAGAGTAGTGAACAGGGCATGGTTCTAGAATCGGGCAGGCTAGGTCCCTCAATCAAGCCTGCGGATGGCCCCAGGCAAGTGGATGCCTGCCTCACAGGTGCTGGGCATGAGGCAAGAGGATGTTTGTAAGGCTCGGTACTTAGAAGGCCCTGTGTTCAGGCCAGTCCTTCCCTCACCCCCACCTAGCTGCCACAAGGTGGCTGGGTGACAGGGGAGCTCATTGTTGTCTCTTCCACACCAATAAGCCCAGCCCTGCCCCCCCGGGAAGGGTGGATTGAGGAGGCTCAGTGGCTGTGCTTCAGGAGCAAGCCTGAATCCAGACAGGCCTCGGTCAGAGGATAATTAGTAACTAGACCAAGGCCGGCAGGATGAGAAAGGAGCATTCTCTGTGGGCCGCTTCCAGAATTCTTATACTGTGGTGATGAGACTGTGTGTGTGTGTGTGTGTGTGTGTGTGTGTTGGGGGGTGAGGAGGAAGGGATGCTGGCGGTCCCTGGAAAGTCACCCTCCACCCCCAGCGCTCAATCACTTCCCCTTCAAAATAGGACTTGATCAAGTACATTTCAGTTTCAATTTCATTTGAGAACACTTTGATATTCTGGTTCACCGGTTTTCAAAAGCTTGACGAGTTTGTCCCAGTTAGAACTGAAGAACAAATGATTTGAAGAGTGAAAGCTAAGACCTTTGGACTGGCTGGCCCTTCCTTCTTGGTTTTGTGCACGGTTCAGCAAATTCAGTATGATTTGTTCTGATTCAGGGTTCTGGCTCTATTATAAAGCGAGGATAACTAGGTGTTTGGCATCCTGGTGTTAGAGCTGAGCTGTGAGGGACCTGCGGGTGCCTAAACCTGTTTCCCCCTGAGACCCTGTGAAGTTGTTCAAGGCTCACTGTGGGAGGCAGAGCTTGCTTTCCCACATTAGGACTTGAGTTCTTTGTCTGGAAAATGGGAGTGACATTTTTTTTTTTTCTCTAGAGGTTCTTATGTGGTGATGCACTAAAAATAACATCCCCTTCCAGCAAACAGGACATACTTCCAGTATACCTTCTGCCTCCTGGCAAAACAGTGAAGTCAAGTCTAACACCTGTCCAGCTCCGTAGGACTCATCTGTGTCTCCCTTGGTTGCCCTAGTGGAGTAGGTGGGAGCAAAGGCCTGTGGTGGAGCTGACCTGATGTTGTGTCCACTTGTTCCTATGTGGCTACCTCTCTCTGCCCACTTTTCTTATCCATGCACTGGGGTAATAATATCCACCCACAGGTTGCTGTGCAGATGAAATAGTCAAGGTTCACAAAGTGCCCTGGGCCCTATTAAGTGCTTTCTGCCTTAGAAACACCTGAGTAGCCTTTCCCCACCTCCTCTCCAGCAGTGTGTGAGCCCAGATGTTGGCTTCTGAGGGTTAAATGAGAGAACGTGGGTAGCATGTGGATTTCTGATGCCAGCTACAGGGTGTTAGATCGTCATGGTGAAAAACTGTATCCATTAGGATTATATTCCTATTATGGAGTCCCAAATAGCAGTCCTTCAACAAGAGAGACTTGATTCCTCTCTCACTTAAACAAGAAGCCTGGGGATGTTTGGCGTCACAAAGTCCTCTAGGCTCTAGGATCCTTGTAGCTTTGCTTCACTGTTTGAAGCCTCTATTCGTAAATTACCTCATAGTCCAGAAGGCTGCTCTGACACCAGCCATCACACCTGCTTTCCAACCAACAGGAGTACAGGAGGAAGAAGAAAAAGGACAAATGCACATGCAAGCTATGTCTTACAGAGATTACTGGAGTCTGGCAGCAAGAAACCACAACCTCTTCTCACATACCACCATCACAACACTATCACCACACACACAGGATTAGATTAACTTCTTATTTTAATAGGCCAGAGCTACAGAAACTTCCTGAAGTGAGGTCATCACACAGGGCAGAAGCAGTTGCAACAAGGTTTGCTGTGTCTTTTGCCCTCTAGATCCTGGTGAAGCATGGCACTGCCTGCGGTAACACTCCCAGCCTACCTGAGAATCCCCTCTGTTCTTCTTGCCCTTTTATAGCTCCCTCCTGGAAGGGCCCGCTCTGCTGACCCAGGGACTGCCATGCAAGGGAATGTTTGCAGACATCTTGATTGTCAAACCAGGCTCTGCACAGGCCAGGGGTTGGCATCATCAGTGTGCACTTACTTCTCTGCCCCCGCTTGGTGTTTTCCCCACCATGCCTGGCAAGGAGCAGGAGCTGGCTACTTTGACAGATGCAAAGGCCTGGCTCTCAGCTCCTTCTGGTGAAAGCCGGCCAATTCTGTAAATGAATATGTTTGGGATGCCTAGCAAGTGTTGCCAACTCCTGAAGGGCTGGCTGTAGGAGAGAGAACCCCAGACTCTCTGAATGAGCAGGGGGAGTGTTATTTTTAGGCAGGAGGCTTGGATGAGCCTCTGAGTGCCCTTGTGGGGGCTCCAAGTGTTAACTCAAGATCTCGAGTGTGTCTTTTCCTCTAGGCTCCCAAGGTGAGGCGGCAGAGTGACACGTGGGGCTCCTGGGGTGACTGGAGCCCCTGTAGCCGAACCTGTGGGGGAGGCATCAGCTTCCGGGAGCGCCCCTGCTACTCACAGAGGTAGGGGAGGCTAGACTGCGCCAGCTGGTTAAAAGAGAGCAGGCCCAAGGGAGTTGGCTGGGTCCTGGGCCAGCTCTGGGTCACAAAGGCAGAACCCACCACCCAACAGACTTGTCTTGGGAGCAGCGTGGATGGAGCATTTGAAATCAAGTCATTTCCCATGTACTTACAGTCTGATTTCAATAATCAGCCTTAAGTGCGAGGATCTGGAGCCATGCCTACTTCATCCACCTCTGAGTCTACCTCCTAACGCAGGGTGGGCATAGGGCAGATGCAGTAAATTCCTGTTGAATTAATAATCTTCAACAATGCTACATTGTGCAGTTTCTCTACCTTCAGCCACTTTGTCAAGTATAGATATTTCCCACTTCAAGTGAATTAAGACCTACTATGTGCCCTGCACTCTGATAGGTGCTATAGAGGGGTGGGCACAAAAGAAGGGGTGATGACACCTTGCCTGTCAGTGGGCTTAAATGACTGTTCCTGCGAACCTCGTGTGAAGAAGAGAAAGAGGTGCGCTATTATTCTAAGCGCCTTGTGGTCATTCACTCCTTAAATGGCAGAATATCCGTATCAGGTTGGTATATATTTTATTTTATCTCCAAGGGCAGAATTTGGGGCTTCTCTGGAAATCTGCCTTCAGAGGCAGAGTGGTCCAGATTTAGACTCCAGGATAGTTAGGCTTCTGAGTCTCCTCTCAAGTACGAATCACTGCTGGCACCTCCCTCCCCAACCTGGGAGTCCCACAGGGACTGAGGGGGCCTGCGGGAGAGCCCCAGGAGGGGGCGTGGGTGTTGGGTCAGAGGGCTTGGGGCTTCCTGGTCCTCTTGTCCTGCAGGAGAGATGGGGGCTCCAGCTGTGTGGGCCCCGCCCGGAGCCACCGCTCTTGCCACACCGAGGTAAAGCCCACGTGGAAAGGCCCGGCCAGCTTTCCAGACCCCCTGCCAGGCTGACACCTGGGCCCTGGGGCGCCCTCCTGTCAGAGCACAGCCAGGGCTGCGCGGGAAATCCCTTCCTCACCTCACACGGAATGACAAAAATGACAGCTGACAGCTTCCCCTCCAGCTGACCTGGGGGGATGGATAACCCTGGGGCCACTCCACCTCCCCGAAGCTGCACAGAGGTGGGGGGGACAGGACCTGCCCTCCCCAGGACCAATGGGGTGGGCAGACCCCAGGGGTGTGTCCACTTCCTCCTCCCTTGCCCCCTCCGCCCCCGCAGAGCTGCCCTGATGGTGCCCGCGACTTCCGGGCGGAGCAGTGCTCGGAGTTCGATGCCCACGAGTTCCAGGGCCGGCGGTACAAGTGGCTGCCTTACTACGGGGGTAAGGGCGAGTGGCCTCCAAAGCGGGGGTTCCTGTTGCCCCACCCTGCGTTTTCCTGTGCTGGTCCCCATCTTTTTGGGATCTCTTTTATACGTTGACTTTTAATTTCACATTTCTTATTACCATATTATAGACACTTTGTTCAATTACATTTAAAAAAAATCAGGAGTACCCCCAGCATGTGCCCATCAAAGCACAACAGTGGTGACCATCTTGGGCCTTTCCATCCTGTTTTCCCTCTGTGTACATGGCCATGGATATGCCATTTTGAGCCCTGTTTTTGGCCTGCTCTGCAGTGCATTCCTCGTGCTGCATGGAGGCCGTGGAGAGGAGCGGGGGCTGCGTTTGGGCTGCAAGGGGCTTGGTATAGCAAGAGCCCATGTGCTCAGGATCTCTGGGGCCAGACTGTGGGCTCTGGGTAACTTTGAGCAGAGTGTATGTTGTTCATTTTTAGAGCCATACAGTTCAAGAAAAAACAAAACAAAACACTAATGTGTATGTAATTAAAACATTTTAAATGAGTCAAGGTAGCTTAGGATAACTTTTCTGAGCATTAATTTTTCACTGCTCACTGCAAATGACTCCTGGAAACTCTGTGGCACTCTGGACTCCAAGTTATAGAACATTTATATCCTATGTGTGCTGTGGGGTGGAGGGGAGGGGAGCCTTGGCTAGAGGGGGTGGCCCCAGTGAGGGCCATTGGCATTCATTGCTCCTCCTGGATCCTGAGGTGAGCATATGTTGAAAATAATTTAAATATATCTATATTATAGAAAAATTGGAACACAGAGGTAAGGTTAAAAGGGTCATTGAAGGATGCCTTCTTTGTTGTGGAGGTGATTACAATCCTATTAACACTTTTAGGCTGTTTAAACAATGTGTATATAGTATTAGATAAATATAAAAATTAAAACAAGAAGAAAATGACAAAATTAAAACAAAAAAATGGGATCACTGCTAGCTTTTTATTCTAGCCCTTTTCACGTTATTTTCTGTATACATATATTTACGTATCTGTAATTATGGCATAGTACCATTTTGCATTCTGTGTTATAAGCATCTTCCCACATTATTGTATAGTCTTCATGATTTTAAAACTTTTATTAAATTTATTGGGCTGACATTAGTTAGTAAAAATATATAGGTTTCAAGTGTACAATTCTATAATACATCATCTGTATATTGCACTGTGTGTTCACCACCCAGAGTCAGTTCTCCTTCCATCACTATATATTTGACCCTCCTAAACCCTCTTCTACAACCCACCACCCTCACCCTCTGCTAACCACTAAACTGTTGTCTATGTTTATAAGTTTTTGTTTGTCTTGTTCATTTGTTTCTTTCAGTTTTATATCCCACATATGAGTGAAATCACATGGTTCTCGACTTTTTCTATCTGACTTATTTTGCTTAGCACGATAACCTCAAGATCCATCCATATTGTCACAAATGGCACTATTTCATCTTATGGCTGAGTAATATTTCATTGTATATATGTGCCACATTTTCTTTATCCAATTATCTATCAAAGGACACTTCAGTTGTTTCCATGGCTTGGCCACCATAAATAATGCTGCAATGAACATGGGAGCACATATATCTTTACAGATAAATGTGTTTTTTTTTTGGTAGATACCCAGAAGAGGGATTGCTGGGTCATATGATAATTCTATTCTTAATTTTTTGAGGAACCTCCATACTATTTTCCATAGTGGCTGTACCAATTTACATTCCCACCAGCAGTATATGAGGGTTCCTTTTTCTAGTCTTCATAATTTTTAACAGCAATTGTAAGCATGTATAACATTCTATTGATAGGTTATAATTTCCTTCAAGAGTTGCTGATTATTATACTTGGATTTGTAAATAACACTGAGATAGACCTCTTCAGGTGTCTGGCTTTTCCCTTATTGTGCAATTTTTATTGTCTTGATCCCCAGAGATACAGCAGTTTTGTGGAGAGTGCCCCCTCTCTCTAAGATAGGGGTGCAACTCTGAGTCACTTGGGGGGCTGCTGCTAGGGCTTTCTCTCCCCTCATTTGTGTGCTTCTGGCCCTGCCCACACTCCCCTGTGGCTAGGATAGGTTTTGGCTGGGATCTCAGGTTTCCTCTCTTGCCTGCCCCAGCTCCCAACAAATGTGAGCTGACCTGCATCCCCAAGGGGGAGAGCTTCTACTACAAGCACAGGGAGGCCGTGGTAGACGGGACGCCCTGCGAGCCTGGCAAACGGGACGTCTGTGTGGAGGGCAGATGCCGGGTGAGTTGTGCCTCCCCAGACCCCCCACCTTGGAGCTCGCGTGGGGCTTACTGTAGGATGTCTCCCTGCACTGCACCAGCAAGGCCAGTGGCCCTCGTAAGCTTGAATGTCTTCCCAAAACGAACTTTTAAGGTACTTTGCATCGTAGATGCCCTAGGACCCTCTTACCTTTACCCTTTGAAAATGAACCCCACAGTAAGAGTAACTCTGTGGGTGGTAAGCTACAGAAACCCAACTAAAACTGACTTAAGGAAAAAAAAAATTGAAAGATGAGCTGGCTGGTTGCAGGTTTCTGAACGGTGCTGCTGGAAATCCCTCTCTCCTTGCCTTTTGGCTTTTCCTCTCCTGGGGCTCAGCATTAGGATCAGGCAGGTTCTTCCTGTGAGGCGTGAAGATGGCCACCAGCAGCTCCAAGCTTCTGTCCCAGCCTGGCAGCTGCCCAGGAAAAGGTGCCCTATTCCCAGGAGTTTCAGCGACCTGGGGTTACTTCCGATTTGTCTTGGCTTGGGACTCCCCTCAACCACTCTCTTGAGCATGGTGTACAGCCCACTGATTTGCCCAAACCCACTGTTGGAGAGGTCCATCCAAAGACTGTAGGAGAGAGGTGGCCTCCAAAGGAAAATGAGGTGGTGTCACCAGAGAAGGGGAGCTAAGTGCTGAGCGGGCAAAAGAGGTGGCTTGTCAGCCACGGGCCAGATCCAATATTACTCAGACCTCGATATTTCTTGGCTAGGTGGTTCACCTGAGAGTTTTTAAAATTGCTGCAAATCTCCAAAAGATTTTCCAATATATTTATTTTTAAAAAATGTACGTATAAGTGGACCTGTGAAGTTCAAACCTATGTTGTTCAAGGGTCAGTTATAGTTACTGCTCCTCCCTGACCTGGCCAGGCAACCAGGGTTCGAATCCTGGTGTACCTGACTCCAGTCTCTCCCGCTTCTCCTCATCTCTGCCTGGTAGGTTGTCGGCTGTGACAACAACCTAGACTCAACAAAGCAGGAAGACAGGTGTCTGCAGTGTGGGGGTGATGGCACGACCTGCTACCGTGTCACAGGAACCTTTGATGCCAGTGACCTCAGCAGAGGTGGGGGTCTATAGACAGTTGAGACAATGTCCCTTCCTGCTCTGGCTGAGTCACCCTCACGGCACTGAGAAGGACTGACCTGGTGTTCAGGTCATGCCCAAAAGGCTCAGGGTGGAGACCAAACCCTTTCACAGGAGCCCGTAGGACCACTCTGGTTAGGACCTCTGCCCACTCATCCAGTGTAATCTCATAGTGCCGCTCTCCAGATGTCCCTCCCTATCTCTTTCTCCATTGTCCCCATCTGTCCTCTCCCCAGTCAGTTTGGGTGCCCAAGCCTGCCTGCCCCCCTGGCGTTTGTGAAACTCTTTCCTCCTTCAGGAACACTCTTTCCCAAGCAGCTCAGCCCCGCTGTCTCTCCTGCTTGCCCTTCCTGATCCCATCTGTGCTGCCAGGGACTTAGCGTCCTTGGGGCCACCTCCTCCCTGTGGCTCGGGTGGTCCCAGAGTCTTTCTGCTTCCTCAGGCTACAACCAGGTCCTCATAGTTCCCACGGGGGCCACTAGCATCCACATCGAGGAGGTGGCTGCCAGCAGAAATTTCCTGGGTGAGAATGGTTTGGGTCTGGGGGAGATAGGGGTTGTATCAGGGAAGCGGGTGGCCGTGGCAGCTGATGGGGGGCTCACCCCACACAGCGGTGAAGAGCGTCCGTGGTGTGTACTACCTCAACGGGCACTGGACCATCGAGGCTGCCCGAGCCCTGCCCGTGGCCAACACCATCCTGCACTATGAGCGGGGCGCTGAGGGGGACCTGGCACCTGAGCGGCTCCATGCCCGGGGTCCCACCTCGGAGCCCCTGGTCATCGAGGTAAGCTGGGCTGGTAGGAGAGGCCTCCGAGGTGAAGGGGGCACCTGGTCTCCAGGAGGATATGGTGGGGGCTCAGGCCTGAAGCCGGCAGGAAGGCTGCGGGAATGGGGTAAGGGGAGGCCCCGCTGGCGACAGACCTCATTGAGGACCCCCTGCTCAGCTCATCAGCCAGGAGCCCAACCCCGGCGTGCGCTATGAGTACCATCTGCCTCTGAGTGCCCCCAGGTCTGGCTTCAGCTGGAGCCATGGCTCGTGGAGTGAATGCAGTGCTGAGTGTGGCGGAGGTGAGGGCCTGGCCCAGGGGACGGGGCAGTCCTCTCCTTGGGGCCTTCCAGTCCTACGGGGGAGGTGGACAAGTAGATGAAATATCTGCAAGTCATGGGATCACCTTGGGGAAACCCAGGGGTTGGGGGACTCCATGAAGGGCCCCCACCTAAGCTAAGAGAAACAGAGGCCATGGCATTTCATAAGAGATGGTACTCTGTTGGCAGTGGAGGCAGGGCCTGGAGCTGATGACCAGCTGTCATAGTGGGGCTTGGTCACTCACAGATAAAACTCTCCAAGCCTCAGTTTACTCATCTGTAAATTGGGGATGATGATGGCACCTAGCCCAGGGGATAGTTTGAGGCTTAATCAAGGTGACACTTGGGATGTGTCCAGAACGGTGCCTGGCCCAGAGAACACATTTGGTGAATGTTGACTGACCAGCTGCCCACTATGGCCGGGCCTCTGCAGGTCACCAGTCCCGCCCAGTGTTCTGCACCATTGACAATGAGGTCTACCCTGACCACATGTGCCAGCACCAGCCACGGCCAGCCAACCGCCGCTCCTGCAGCCCTCAGCCCTGCCCACAGACCAAGCGGTGAGGCCCTTGCCAGTTCTTCCACCCATGGCGGGGCCCAAGCACTTGGGTGGGAGGCAGTGGGGTGCCTAGGCTGCTTTAGGTGTTGAGCAAAGAGGTTGGGTGGCCTAGTGCTTCCCACAGCTGTGGCTACAGTGGGGTGGGGGGAGGCAGCTGTCACTGGGGGAGACTGGAGGGGTCTGAGCATGCGGCCCAGTGCCCAGAATGTCCAGGCTGGTGGCAGGAGGGTTGGGGAAGATACTGGCGGTCCCATCTGTCTGAGCCATCAAGGCACTGGCTCAGCAGATGCTCAGGAGTGGGCCCGGGATTGGGCCAAAGGGCCTGTGGGCGTCTGCAGTGCCTTTGTTCCTGTGCAAAGGACCTCTTACCTGTACCAGCCCAGAGCGCATGGCTTGCTGGGGCCCAGCGTGTGTGTGAACTGGTAATCTGCAGGCCACAGGCTCCCTGCAGGGCTGGTGCAGTACTTCCACCCTCGTGGCCTTGGTGGCAGCTGGCCTCATGGGATGGTGGTGAGCTTGGCTTTGCATGTGTGATGGGCACTGCCGTTTCCTCTGGGTCCATGTGCCAAAGGACCAGGCATGGCCACTCCACACATGGGTGAGCGTGGCCCCTCTGGGAGATCCCCCAACTAAAGTCAGACCCTGAGGAAATGGAGTCTGTCTGGGGGTGACGGGGCCTGGTGAGAAGGAGAAAGGGAGATGCGGGTGAGGATGTGTGAGAGGGAGGCAGCCAGGCTCTGTGTTGTAAGGACCCAGTGCACAGTGGCAGGAGATGGTGAGCAGGGCTTGGCTCTTGGCCTTGGTGCAGAGCACTTTGCCCCCCAGTTGCACAGGCCTGGATGTTCAGAAGATGGGGCAGGTTGGGGAGGTCCCCAGTCCACTCCCGTGTGTGAGAGCTGGTGCCCCCTCAGCCTGGGCTTTGGTCCCCTGCTTCTGGGCCAGCCTTACCAACTCCTGCTCCCTGCCAGCTGGAAGACTGGGCCCTGGGCGCCCTGCTCAGCCTCGTGTGGAGGTGGCTCCCAGTCCCGCTCCGTCTACTGCATCTGGTCCAATGGGGCTGGCGTCCAGGAGGCTGTCGAGGAGGCCGAGTGTGCAGGTCTGCCTGGCAAGCCCCCTAGCACGCAGGCTTGCAACCTGCAGCATTGCGCAGCCTGGAGCGTGGAGCCCTGGGGAGAGGTGAGGCCCCTGCCCGGCCCAGGAGGGGATGGGGTGGAAATCAGGAGCTGGGTCGTGGGCCTGGGCAGCAGCAGGACAGGGTTGGAAGGCTTGTCGTCCACCGTGGAAACATACTGGGAGGTAAAGTGACCTGCTGGGTTGTCTTGGAAGCTGTGGCCAAATCTAGGACAAGGAGCAGGTGCTTGGACTCCTTCTTCAGTGCTCTTCCTCCTTCTCTAGGGTCCCAGGTAGGTGGGAAAGGCTTTGCCTCGGACACATTGGTTGGGGGCAAAGAAGGAGCTGGTACTATCTGGGTCTGCTGGTTACTGCTTCCAGCACCTACAGATGTCCCAAGTTGCAAACGAGGGAGTATGGAACACGCACCTCAGCCTGGTGTCAACAGCTATGGTTCATGCTGTGTGACCTCAGGAGAGTGACTCAGCCTCTCTGGGCCTGGGAGCTGGACATGGGCAGTAGGGTGCTGTCTGCCCACCATGCTAGGACAGTTTCTAGCTGTCCAACCAAGCATGGCTCCTCTGGGCAAAGACAAGCTCCTGCTGATGGCCTGGTCCTTACAGTGCTCTGTCAGCTGTGGCTCTGGGGTCCAGAAGAGGAGCGTCACTTGCCGGGGTGACCAGGGGTCTCTGCTCCATGCCACAGCATGCTCCTTGGAGGACCAGCCACCTCTCACTAAGCCCTGTGTGCATGATGACTGTCCCGTCCTCAATGACCAGGCCTGGCACATCGGTGCCTGGGGCCTAGTGAGTGCTTGCCTCCCACCCATACCTGCTGCCCTATTCCGGTCCCTTGGGTCTCTGGGAGGCAGCTGCACACATGCCTGTCCTTGGATCTGACATGCGTCACCAGCCACCTTCTCCCTCCTTCCTTTCCTCCCTTCCTCCCTCCCTTGTGGGTACCCCTACCCCCACCTTCAGGGTCTCTCCCTAAGCATGCATGTTCTCTCTTCCCACCCCCACCCTGTGGGCCCCAGTGCTCCAAGAGCTGCGGCTCGGGCACTCGGAGGCGCCAGGTCATCTGTGCCATTGGGCCACCCAGCCACTGTAGGAGCCTGCAGCTGTGGAAACCTGCAAGCGTGGAGCCCTGTAACACGCAGCTCTGCCATCTTCCTCCCGGTAAGGACAGGAGGGGCAGAGCCTGGTCTGACTTCTTTCCCCACTACAAACCTAGCCAGCACTTCCTGCCTCTGGGCCTTTGCTGCGTCAGCCACCTGGACTACTCTCTTCCTACATCTCCTTTTACTGAAGCCTTTGCCGCCCATAAAGTCCAGTTCTAAGCAACCTCGCTCACGAGCCCTATTTTTTCCCCCTCAGAGGCAGCATCCTACCCCCAGAGCTCACTGTCACCCTTAGGTTAGTGTCCTTGGCTGCAGTGGTTGTATATGGCTAAGATGCCATTAGGCCTACTAGCTATAGGCTTCTTGATGGCCGGGTACTTGACTTCCTTATTCCTGTCTGTACCCCCCACAGAACTTAGCTAGCATGTGGTAGGTGCTTAGTAAGTGTTTGTTGAATGACTGAGTGACTGAGTGCAGAGGAGGGAGGTGGCCCAGGAAAGTTGGTCTTCACACACTTTTTCTGCTTCTGTATTCCCCCTTTCCTTCCCTTGCATCCCCCCTGGGAAAGAAGGTGTCCCAGGCATGAGAAGCTGCAGCAGGAAGGGCACAGAGGGCAGCACGTGCTTGGTGTGAGGTTGTGATATTGGGAGGTGGCCTTCTGACAGGCGTGTTTGTCCCTGACGTGCTAGTGGTGGAGGCAGTAGGATTCCGATGGAGATACATGGTAGCGTGGCTAAGAGCCAGTGGCCTGGAGTCAACAGCTAACCTGGTTCAGATCTCCACTCCATTGCTGACCAGCCATGTGGGCATGGGCAACTGCCTCTCCTCTCCGGTTCTCGGTTTGCCCTTCTGTACAATGGGGTTAGAGCGACTTTCCAGGCTTGTGGTGAGTCACTGGCAGGGTGCCTGAACACACAGTGCTGGAGAAGCAAAGCATCGGCCTTTGGGGTGGTGAGGCTGGGTGGGGGCTCCTGGGTGCCTTGGCCTGGCCTTGGCCCTCACGGTGCACGAGCAGAGGGCTCCTCGGCTCCCACGAGTCCAGCTCTCTAGAGCTACTCACTGTCCCAGGACCCTGGACGCCTTCCTGGAATAGGGGGCCCTCCAGAAAGGCATTCACATAGGTAAAAAGGAAGGAAATGGAGAGGGAATTTCAGGCCAGTTGAGTTGTTAACAAAAAAAGCCTTCATTGCTATTTTTATAATTATGAAAACAATGTATGTTCACTGTGAAAAATTTGGAGAAATCTGAAAAGTAGTATATAGAAACTTCAATTTCCCTCGGTCCCATCCATCAGTGGGATAAATCTTTAGTATACTTCCTTGTAATGTGAGTGTGGTTTTCTCTCTGCCTTTTTGCTCTTAATGCTGTTTGGTGTGGTGATTTCTTGGGGCTTCACAGAAGTCCATAATGGGTGAGAATTGAGACTTGAGGTGATTTCTGGTGATCTGGGTACTGTCACTGACGCTGTAATGCATACTGGTGTAAGCCCAGGAGGAGGGGCCCACTGGGGCGTGGGCATCCAAGGGGGCACTGGACTCACCCCTGCAACCTCTGCGTGTCCTTCTTTCTAGAATCTGGAGCTGCGCTCACCAGTAGAAATAGAATGCCAGACACACATGCCATTTAAAAGCATCTAAGAACCACATCAAAAAAGTAAAAGGAAACAAATGAATTTATATGTAATAATATATTTTATTTAACCCAATTAAATATATATTTTTTTTACCGTGTAATCAATATAAAAATTATGAACAGGATACTTTACATTCTTTTCTTTTTACAAGATTTAAAAAAAAAAACTAAATCTTTGAAATCCAATGTATGGTGTACGCTTATAGCACATCTCCAGTCAGAAGCTAACATTTCCCTGGCATACTTGATCTAGATTTAGATTTCATAAAGTGTATAGTTGGCAGAGTGGGTTCACTGCCCACGTTGTTTCAAATACACTGAGATGTTTTTCTATAAATGAATCAAGCATCAGTGTTTAAATTTAAAATTCAATTACTCTGAATTAAAGAACGCGAAACTCAGTTTCTGGGTCACCTCGGCCACATTTCAAGTGCTCAGTAACTGAGACCAGTAGAGGCCCAAGAACCGGCCCTCGGCCCAGGGGGTAGGGACAGGGGCAGGAAGTCTAGGGGTGGTTGGTGCTCTTTGGGCTGGGGTGACGCTGAGGGCTGCAGATTCAATTTGTCTAATATGGCCCAGGGGAGTCAGTGAAAGTTGTGGAGCTGGAAGATGAGCTCCTGAAAGCTACTTAGGAGGACAAATTGGGCATCTGCCTAAGGGTCATACTGAAGTGGAGACACGGAAGCAGGAGTCTGGTGAGGGGCGGGCTGCAGAGATTCAAGTGCTAGAAAGAGCAACAGACATGAAGGAACAGGCACTGTCCCAGCAGAGCCTGCTGCCTAGAGGGTGTGTGGGAAAGGGGTGCTGGACCCTAAGTTAAGTCTCAAAAGATGGAAGAGAAGCGTCACAGGACGGGAGGCCGGAGGCGGGGTGGGCTTGGCAGAAAGGTGCCTCTCATGTTGAGATGACAGAGGGACAGAAGGCAGAGATCCCCAGGCTGGCTGGGGACTGTGAATGCAGGGCCTAGGGACTGCAGAAAGCCGGTAGAAGATGATAGAACTGGGGAGGGAGTTTGAATCAGCCTCCCCTGAGGTTTAGGCCTGGGTGGGGTAGGCAATAAAACGAAAACAAGGATTTTACCGCAAATCTACTGGAGTCCTCCCACCCTAAATTATTTTCTAAATATTCCCTGAAGACTGGCAAGATGCAGTCTGTATGGGAATGGAATTTTCACTTATTTTTTTATAACTTTATTCCGTTATGTAGTAGTATGCATATTGGGGGAAATTTGAAAAACATTAACAAATAGAAGGAAGGGACCCCTTCCATCCCCACCCGACCACACACATAGGAAGCACTCAGAAACTTTCACTATGAACATTTGGGGTGTGTTCTGCAAGTCGTCTTCTATGTATTATTAAAAAAAATTCCTTTTGCCTTAATTTACACAGCCTTTGGCATTTTTTTTCTCCAACATTTTACGATGAAAAATCTTTTCAATAACTTCATTGTGGTGGTTAAATATCATATACCATAAAACTCACCATTCTAAATGGTATAATTCATGATTTTTAGTAACCCACCTTCTAAATTCTACAATTAATATTTAGTTATATTTGCTTTTTCGTTATCTATTGTCTATCCTTTCTATCAATCCAATTACTTGTAATATGGAATCTTCTTGTTGAGGTAAAGTTCACATAACATATGGATAACCATTTTAAAGTGTACAGTTTGGTGCTACTTTGTGTATTCTCAATGCTGTACCACTACCAGATCTCTAGTTTCAAAATTTTCATCACCCCATAAAAGCGCCTTGTACCCATTAAGTAATCACTTCCCGTTGACCCGAACCCCCTTCCCTGGCAACCTGATTTCCTTTCTGTCTTTATGCATTTCCCTATCCTGAATTCTATCATAGAAAATGATCAGTAAAACCTTTCGTGACTGGCTTCCTCCACTTAGCTGAGTGTTTCTGAGGTTCATCCAAGTTGTAGCACGTTATCGGTACTTCATTCCTTTTTATGGCTGAATAACATTCAATTATATAGATACACCACCATTTGTTTATCCATTCATCTGCTGATAGGTATTTGGGTTATTTCTGCCTTTTGGCTATTATGAATAATGCTGCTATAAACATTCACATGCAAGTTTCTGTGTGGACATAGGTTTTCATTTCTCTTGGGAATGTACCCAGGTGTGGTATTTCTGGGCCATGTGTTAATTCCACATTTAAGTTTTTGAGGAACTGCAAAGCTTTCCACAGTGTCTGCACCATTTTATATTCCCACCAGCAATGTCTGACGGTTCCCATTTGTCCACATCCGCACCAACACTTATTTCAGATTTTTTTTTTTTAAAGATTTTTATTGGGGAATTGGAGGGATGGTAACAGTGCTGGGGAGTTGGGGGAAGGGGAACAGACAAGTTGCTGTCGCTTTGTTCTTCAGTCTAGTTGTGGAGGATGTTGCTTCACTGGCCCAAGTTGGCACCATCATTGCGCTCTTCCCGGGTGAGGCAGATCAGTCGCCGGCTTTCTGGATGGCCGCTCACTGCGGCTGCTGGCCGCTCACGCTGGCTGCTGGCTACACACGGTAGCCCATGGCAACCCACTGCCACAGGGACTGCAGCCTACGCCGTCGCCAGCGACTCACGGCAGCCCAGCTCCAGGTTGAGCTGTTGTTCAGCATCTTAGCTGTGGAGGGCAGTGTCACTGGCCCTCATATGTGGGATCCGAACCAGGGCCCTCTGGCGTCCCAAGCCAGTTCTTAACCACTGCGCCACTCAGCCGGCCCTATTTCAGACTTTTGATTAGAGCCTTCCTATGGGTGTGGAGTAGTATCTCATTATGTCTTTGATTAGCATTTCCTTAATGACTAATGACATTGAACATCTTTTCATGTGCTTGTTGGCCATTTGTATGTCTTCTCTAGAAAAATGTCTGTTCAAGTTCTTTGCCCATTTTTAAATTTTAATTGTAATTGTAATTTTTTTTATTAGTTTCAGGTGTACAAAACAATGTAATAGACATTTCACCCCTCATAAAGTGATAACTCCCCCAATCTATTACCCCCCTGACGTCATATATGGCTGTTACAATTCCATTGACTCTATTCCCTATGCTGTACTCCACATCCTGTGACTATATGTATATATATTAAATTATAGTTGACATTCAGTATTATTCAGCTTCAGCTTCAGGTGTACACTGCAGTGGTCAGGCATCTACACTGTCCATGACATCATCTCCCTAATTAGACAAGTGCCCATCTGACAGCCTACAAAATCTTTACAACATTATTGATTATATTCCCCAAAATGTCCTTCATATCCCCGTGGCAATCTTGTGGTTACCAATTTATGCTGTCTAATCCCTTCACCTTCTCCCTCATCCCTCTCCCCAACTAGCAACCATCAGTTTTTCCTCTGTATCTCTGAGACTTTATCTGTTTGCTCATTTATTCAGTTCTTTAGATTCCACATATAAGCAAGATCATATGGTATTTGTCTGTCTCTGACTGACTTATTTCACTTAGCATAATATTCTCTAGGTCCATCCAAATCGTTGCAAATGGTACGATTTCCTTCTTCTTTATAGCTGAATAATACTCCATTGTATAAATGTACCAAAGTTTCTTAATCCAGCCGTCTACCATTTGCCCATTTTTTAATTGAATTGTCTTTTCATCAACCCAATTAAAAAAAATTGTGTATTGCTTTTTGTTGTTGATGGGATTAAGCAGAGATGCTAATTTTATATCTGGCTTTTCTTTTTGCTGAACATGTAATATTAGCGTTTTCTATGTGATTAAAGACTTTTGAAACATGGGAAGGTGTTTTATGAAATCACAAGTACTGCTCAGGTCGCTTCTGCTGTCCTGGGTTCCCCTGGCGCGGCTTGAGCAGTGGGGTGGGAGCAAGTGTTGGGCAGGGCCGGCCATGGCTCGGGCCCACTCCTCCCTTCTCCCCTGTCCCTCTGTACCCCACCCCGACTGCTCTGGCTCCCTGCAGAAGTCCCCAGTGTGCAGGATGTGCACACCAGCCCCAGGGACCCCTGGATGTCTTTGGACCCTCGGGAAGCGCCTGCCTCAGGTGAGGAGCTCAGTGGAAGCGCCCACCCCAGGGCCCTGGAGATGGAGGTTGAGGGTAGGGGGCGAGTGGCTTTTGGGAGAATGGAAGGAAGGGTTCTGATGTGGACACAGATGGAAGTGAGGAGCCAGGTGGACATGTCATGTGTCTTTTGCTTCCTCTTTCTAGATTCCAGAGACCAGGGATGGGCACGTCTGGAGCAGCCCTCCGCCCGGGGTAACCCCAGAGGAGACCAGAGTCCCCACCAGCTGCCAGCCTTGGGGCCAGCCACTTCTCTGCAGCAGTCCCCACACCAGCAGCCCCTGCGGCCTGGCTCCAGGTTTCAAGACTGCAGACACAGCCCCCACGGGTGCTGCCCCGATGGCCACACTGCATCTCTTGGGCCACAGTGGCAAGGCTGCCCTGAAGCCTTTTGTCAGCAGAGCAGGTAGGTGCCTCTTCCTCCTCACCAGGTCATAGAGGGGAGGGGTGTGTGTGTGTGGGGTGTCTGATGGGCAGCCAGCATCTCTGCTCAGAGAGGGTGGGGTGGGTTTGCCGAGCTCAGGAATGGGACCATGGAGGTGTTGTCTCCAAGCTGCCCTGTGATTAGACTTTTGAAACATGGGAAGGGTGTTTTATGAAATCACAGGTACTGCTCCTGTCACTTCTGCTGTCCTGGGTTCCCCTGGGCTGGCCTGAGCACTGGGGTGGGAGCAAAGTTGATCAGGTCTGACCATGGCTCGCGCCCACTCCTCTCCTCTCCATCTTGAGGACTTGGCTTCCTCATTGGCAGGGGTCGTGGGGTGCTGGTAGGTGGCGGTGGTGGTGGCAAGGCCTGCTTTCTCTGCAGAAGTCAGCCTGTGGAGATGTAGCCTGAGGCCCTGGAAAGGCACATGGGGTAGGAGTCCAGCTCTCCATCCAAACCAGGCTCCCACTGCCTCAGGGGCTGGAGTGCTTAGAGCCCAGACTTTGGGGCCAGCAGCCTGGGGGTGATTCCCAGCTCAGTCACTTACTGTGTGCTGGGTGACTTGGGGCAAGTTACTTAACCTCTCTGATCTTGGCTTCCTCTGCTGGGACCAATGACAGCCACTGGTTGGGGTGACTGAGGATGAAACACATCACACCATGCCTGGCACGAAGAAGTGCCTTGATCTATTCCCCCTTTCACCTTCCTTCCCAAGTCCTGGTTGTGGAGGTGAGGTGCGTGCAGGCTAACCCTGATGCACTTTCTATCCCATCTCCCATCTGCTGCTATTGTGTAAAAACTCCCTGGGAACCTGATATCCAGCCAGGCTCAGGTTCATGTCCTCCTCTTTAGTTTTGTGGTGGAAAGTGTGAGTTGAGGATTTGCCAATTATTAGGGTTGCAACTCTACTGTGTTACTATTGCCCTCCCTGGTGGCCATTAAAAGTGGTTAGTGGGTGTGGAGAGACGGGTACACAGGAAGGTGTGCCATGCATGCAGGGACATGCCATCTCCCACTTGGATCCTCACCTGGTCAGCCCCCAGCACAGGGAGCCTTGGAGCCTCGGTCTTGGGGTGCTGGAAGCTCAGGGTCCCTGGAAGGGTGGGGACTAGAGCTGGGTGGTGAGGGGTGGCTGTGTGATGTCTGTCTAGGTACGGGTGCTGCCCTGACGGGGTGTCTGTGGCTGAGGGGCCCCATCAAGCTGGCTGTGCAAGGTCTTATGGTAATGACAACACCAGGAGCAGGCCAGGGGCGAGAGCGGTGGCCTCCAGAGTAAGTGTCTCATTCACACGTGGGGCAGGAGTCCAGCCCCCGAGCCTGCTCAGTGCCACTGTGCGGCTTTGGCCCTGGAGGAAGGCGGTGCCTGAAGCCTGCTGGCCTGGGTGGTCTTCTTGAGGGCGCAGGGCTTCAGAGATGGTCTGGGGATGGGGGTTTCATGCAACCTTCTCCTGGCTGCTGATCTCCCAGGACTGGGGTTATGCACTGTGGGCTCACAGTTCTGTCTCCCTCTTCCAGCCCTCCTCCCCCAGGCAGCCTAGGGACCCCAGCAAAAGCCAGACCTATTCCCAACTTCCTCCCCAGGTCCCCAAGGCCCACCAGCCCCAGCAGACTGAGCCCAGTGAGTGCCGGGGCTCCCAATTTGGCTGTTGCTATGACAACGTGGCTTCTGCAGCAGGCCCTCTTGGGGAAGGCTGTGTGGGCCAGCCCAGCTACGGTGAGTGCCTGCCCTTTCTCACCCTTCCTGGCAGGTAGGCTCTGGTCCCACTGTGCCCCTCCACCTCCGCCCAGAGCCAAAGACGTTCCTACTGGCTCAATTGTTCATCCATTCCTTCCACAAATATTTATTGATCACCTACTAGGTGCCAGGCCAGAGAGCAGACCCAGATTGTTCTTGTTTCCAACAGTCTGGAGCTGGGGAGACTTGGAGGTAGAGATCCCGTGGAGAAGGCAGGCCCGATCTTTCCCCTGTGGCTCCGCCTCCTCCAGAGGCAGAGAGGGTGTAGGGCTGTCAGTGCTGGACAGATGGGGTTCCCTCACCCTGCCTGGGATGAGTCCTGGAGGGAGGCTACTGAGGTGGGAGCATGGGATGCATGGGTGGAGCTGCTGGGGACCAACACGGTGATGTAGGAAGCCGAGCGGGCTGGTGGTCAGGGTCTGCCGTGGTCACGTGTGAATGGGGAGGGCTTGAGCCGGCTGGGCTGGGCAGGAGAGCTGCTAGAGCCGGCAGGTAGGGGCTGGAGCTCTATTCAGAGGCTGGTGGAGGGTCCTGGGAACAGGGCGAGCGACTTGCTGGGCATCTTCACAGGCCCCTGGGAGCTCAGGCCTGGGTCCTTCTCCTGAGCTGAGCAGCATATCAAGGTCAAGCCCTTGGGTTGGTCTGGGTGTGCGCTCCGGGAGCCTGGTCAGGGATGAGGAGGCGTGCGAGGGAGCCCGTCCAGGGAGCTCACGCCCTGACCTTCTGGAGAGCCCTAGTTCTGGGGGGCTGGGGGTGGTGGTGGCGGGGTGTGTGTGTGTGTGTGTGTGTGTGTGTGGTTTGATTCTGGAAGCTGCTGTGGTCCCAGCCCAGGCCTGGGCAGTGAACAGACTGCTCCCAGGGCCAGGCCAGGGGCCCAGGCAGAGGTGTAGCCATGCTCCACAACCTGGGAAGGGCCTCACTCCTGTCTGAAGGGATGCTGGGTGCTTCTTGGCAGGGCTCTGCTGGCCAGTGGTATACTGGCCACCTGGGTGACATGCGTCCTCCTGCCCTCAGCATACCCCGTGCGGTGCCTGCTGCCCAGCGCCCACGGCTCTTGCGCAGACTGGGCCGCCCGTTGGTACTTCATTGCCTCTGTGGGCCGATGTAACCGCTTCTGGTATGGTGGCTGCCATGGCAATTCCAATAACTTTGCCTCGGAGGAGGACTGCATGAGCAGCTGCCGGGGCTCTCAACGTGGGCCCCACCAGCCCAAGCCTGGGGCCTCTGGCCAGAGCACCCCCAGAGATGGCAGCAGCAGCAGCAGTCCTGGAGGCCGGCAGGAGGCCAGCCAGCACAGGCCCAAGGCCACCGTCCAGAGAAGGCCCTTGCCTTCTGGTGGCCTCCAGTGGCGAGACTCAGAGCCTGGGCCCGGGGAGGCGCACCACACGCAGGCCTTAGGACGGCCCTGGGGCCAGGAGCTGAGGCCCAGCGCGCCTGGACTGGGCGAAGACGCCGGTCAGTCAGCACCACCCTCACACAGCTCCTCCCACAGGTGAGGCCCACCTTTCCAGGTCGGGGGAGAGGGACCCAGGTCGGGGCTGAGCCTGCTGGAGCTAAAACCCCAAGGCCCGCTGGCCCTCCCGCCCCGTCCCTAACCTTGAAGCCTCCTGACAGCTCTGCCTGGACGCCTCGTTCCCTTCATTCACATCTAGGGAAACTCAGGCTTCAGCGGCCAGGCAGCCAGCACACGGTGGTGCCTGGATTCCTCAGCAGATCTTGTCAGTGTATCCAGGGTCTGTCTAGTTGGAAAAGCTTATGGCCTTCATGACCTTTGGCAAATCATCTGACTTCTCCAAGCCTCAGTTCTCTGACCTGTAAAATGGTGATATTATCTCATAGGTTTAGTGTGGGTTCCACATGCTAGTACGCTTGGGACTGTGTCATATCAGATTTGGGGAGATTAAAAAACAAAACAAAACAGGTGTGTGGTTTAGTCCCCCACGTGAATCTGGTGTGTGCTGTCTCTCCCAGCCCCTCCACCCCGGGTTTTGTGCCACCCCTGCTGCCCCCTGCTGCCGTTTCAGGCCAGGTTGAGGTGGCTGTGCCTGGGGCACGGGAGGGAGGTTAGGGGGATGGGTTCCTGAGTCCACGGGCTTTTGGAGCTTGTCCTCCCATGATACCCTCTGGGCCTGCAAATGCCCATGACAGGATGGGCACCAAGCTGTCTGTGGTGGGACACTGATGAAGGGGTAGTGGCTGGTCCTGGCACTCACGCCAAGTAGGTCAGGTCCTTCCCTCCCCTTTCCAGGATTAGTTTGACAGGCTTGGAGCCCTCTCTGGTACAGGCGGCCCTGGGGCAGTTGGTGCAGCTCTTCTGTGCAGATGACACCTCCTTGGACCCTCACACCAAGTGGCAAAAAGACGGGCAGCCCATCTCCTCTGACAGGTGTGTGGGAGCCCTCCTGGTGTCAGCCCTCAGATTTCCCCCTAGATGGAGGGTGAGAGTGGGGCCATGGTCCCCTCTGGTAGGAGTTCTGGGACCTGAGGGCAGGTTGGGCTCATCATTGTCCTCGGGAGTCTGGAGCTCAAGCCCCCACCCCCCTCAATCAGGCACAGGCTGCAGCCTGATGGCTCCCTGGTCATCAGCCCCCTGCGGTCAGAGGACGCTGGCACCTACAGCTGTGGCAGCACCAGGCCAGGCAGTGACTCTCAGAAGATCCACCTTCGTGTTACAGGTCTCTGTCCCCCACCTCCAACGGGTTCTTATTGGCCCCATAAGGGTGGGAGGGATTGGCTGGAAGGGCCTGAGCACCCCCACACTGGAGGGACTAGGGTGCTTCCTTGGGCTAAAGTACCCTGGTGACAGGGGCCATGTGTACCAGCTGGGCTTGGGTGGATGTCTTGCCCCTCATTTCTCCACTGTCCCCCGCCAGCCTCGTGGCCCACCCTTCCTTCACCCCCTTCTCCCCACAGCTCACCTCTTGCTTCTCCTGGCCTCATGACAGGGGGTGACACGGCAGTGCTGTCTGAGGCTGAGCCAAGGCCCTTCCCTCAGCCCAGGGACCCAGCCCAGGGCTACAGTCCTCAGGACTCCAGGCTAGGGGGGGATGCCAGGGGCCTGGGGGCCGTCTCCTCACATTCACAACCCACAACCAGGTAACAGGGCGGGAATGCCCTCCTGCTCTCGGCCTCCCCCATGTGAGGGCCAGGGTCCACGGAGCTCTCAGTGGGTGAGAGGAGGGGAAAGGTCCCCAGGCCAGTGTGTGCTGTGACCAGGCTTGCTGGCCTCGTGAGGAGGAAGCAGAGCCCTCCCTCCAACCCCAAGCAGTTGGAAATGGTGCAAGTCTAAAGCCCAGGATTCGGGAGATGAGGGAAGGGAAGAGCATCAGAGGTTAAGAGGCTGAGACAGCCTCGAAGAAGGGCAGCTTTCAGAGGGGAGCAGAGGCCTGGAGGGGGCCCAGGTCAACGACCTAGAGGCAGATGTGGAGGGTGGGCAGGGGACAGTCTGAGATTCTGGGTGTGAGAAAGCAGAGGCGGTAGTTATTGATGGGGTCCTCACCAGAACAGAGGGGTGATTTTAGGAAGTTGAGTCTGGCTGGAGAGGGAGAAGGGTCCTATGAGGCTTACGCAGAGGGCCAGTTCCCAGGCATGCGTGAGAGTGGGGGCGGCAGCAGCTAGGACCCTCTCAGTGTGGGGGTGCTTTTTGTGTAGGCTGCGCCTGGACCGGAACCAGCCTGGTGTGGTGGACGCCCGTCCAGGCCAGCGGATCCGGCTGACCTGCCGTGCTGAGGGCTTCCCACCCCCAACCATTGAGTGGCAGAGAGACGGGCAGCTCCTCTCTTCTCCCAGGTGTGCTCCGCTCTTCTCCCCTCCCTGCTGTGTGGCCCCCAGCCCCCCCCTGCCCCCCCTGTGTAGGCTGTTGGGGGGAGCTGCCAGGGGTCACCTCCGGTCAGTCAGGGGCTCTCGAGAGATGGAGCTGCTGAGTGTAGGGCAGACCAATGTCTGGGTCTCTGGGCCTTTCCAGAGTGTGGTTAGAGGGCCAGCTGGCAGAGGATGGCTGAGGGAGCGACGGAGGCAGACGTCTTTCTGGCTGTAATCATAATAGCTAACATTTCTTGAGCCCATGAGTGTGAGGCTTGTGTCCACCATACCATCTGCAGAAGAGCCACGTTGAGGTAGGTGCTATTTCATCCCCATTTTTCACACAGAAGTTTAATACCACACAGCTCCTAAGCAGCAGAACCAGGACTTGAGCCTACTAAATGAGTCTAGAAAAATTGTTTTGTATCAGAAAACTTGAAATGATTTATCGCCAGGCTTAAAAGTGAGACATCTTCAAGGAAATGCGAGTGCTGGCAGCTGGAGGACCTAATGCTGACGGGCTCTTTGGTCAGACCCCACACAGCAGTAGGGGCCCCTCAGCCTCTCACCAGCGAAAGGAAGACTCTGCCCCTCCCCCGCCCCTGGCTGTCATGTGGGATGGTGACACCTGACTCTGCTTGGTCCCCAGACACCAGCTGCAGCCCGACGGCTCTCTGGTCATCAGCCACGTGGCTGTGGAAGATGACGGCTTCTATGCCTGTGTCGCCTTCAATGGGCGGGACCGAGACCAGCGATGGGTCCAGCTCAGAGTTCTGGGTAAGGTGTAGTCCTGCGTGGAAGGGTAACGAGCCAGTAGCCTTTGAGGTCAGATGGCACAGGTTGGGCAGAATTGGCACAGTGACTGACATTGCCTCCTCCTTGGGTCCAGGGGAGCTGACAATCACAGGGCTGCCCTCTACTGTGACGGTGCCAGAGGGTGACACGGCCAGGCTGCTGTGCGCGGTGGCAGGAGAAAGTGTGAACATCAGGTGGTCCAGGTAAGGCTCTATTCCTGGCAGGCCTGACCTGACCCTCACCTGGGGTTGTACAGCCCAAGCACAGGTGTCCCCTTTCTGCAGGGGTATTGCTGTCACCATTGCCCTCCCCGCAATCTTCCACTCCTGCCTCCAGACCTGGTGCCTACACAGCGAAGCCACATAGCTTTTTTATCTTTTAAAGAGAGGAGTCCTGAGCATATTTGCTGCTGGGAAGATCCAGGGAGGCAAAGTTGAAGGTCCAAGCCTAGCCCCGCACGAGGGCCCATTCGCATGCTGGCATCTCATCACCTTCGAGGCTTGACCAAGAACATCCTTGCCCCTCAGCCTTCAAGGCCCAGCCAAAGTCACCTCCATGGCCACTCTGGGCTTCACTGGGCTTCACTCTGCTTTGGGGACTCCAGTGGCCTTTTACCTCAGATCAGTTGGTCTGATTTATTCATCTAGCAAAACATTTTGCCCCTTCCTCCTTTGTACTGTGTGGGGACAAAGCTAGGCTTTGGGGAACCTGAGGTAACCAGAGCCCTAAAACATGCCCAGGGGATCCTGGGATGATCTGAGCCCCCTAGATCCTCCCAGGCAGGAGATGGCCCAGTGACAAGCCCCAGAGGTTTGCCCTAAGTGCTGCCTGTGCAGAGGAGCGAGGCTGCCTCCTGTCTAGAATCAAGAAGGGGTGGCCATGGAGGTGACTTTGGCTGGGCCTTGAAGGCTGAGGGGCAAGGATGTTCTTGGTCAAGCCTCGAAGGTGATGAGATGCCAGCATGCGAATGGGCCCTCGTGCGGGGCTAGGCTTGGACCTTCAACTTTGCCTCCCTGGATCTTCCCAGCAGCAAATATGCTCAGGACTCCTCTCTTTAAAAGATAAAAAACACACCCGCCTCTGATCCTGTTGTCCTGCGGCCTGGCCTTCTGTCAGTCTCGCCTTCACAGCACGGCTGTTGACACTGGGTGTCTCCACCTGTCAGCCCGCCGCTCACGGCTCAGCCCTTTGCACTGGGGCCTCACATCCACTCCCGCTCCAGGGAGACTGCTCCGGCCAAGGCCACCAACTGCCTCCCTGTTCCTAAGTCCTCTGGTCACATCCCAGTCCCCACACGACCCGCGTCCTTCCACGTGCCCCTCCGGAGATCTTCCTTCCCTTGGCTCCGAGCCACACCCGTCTTCGGGTGTTCTTCCGCATCTCTGGCTGCTGCTGCTCTTTTCCTAGCGGGCTGCCCCCTACCTATCCCTTAGAGGCCGACGCACCTCACGGTCTGTCCCTGGTCCTCAGTTTGGCTGACTTCACCTTGGGTGACCTTGCCGACACGCAGTTTCTGGAACCATTCAGTGGTGATACACAATCTGGGTCCAGACCTCAAATCTGACGCCTGCTGGTTATCTCACAGGCTCCCGATATGCAAAATGGTGAGAAAGAAACTCACCATTCACCCCCTCACCCCCACCCCGGGCCTCCCCACAGTGGAGGGGCACCACCATTACCCAGTAACCCGAGCTAGAAACCTCTGTCGCCCTGATTTCTTCCCCACCTCCCCGCATCCCAGTCCCTTCAGTTCACTGCCTGTGCCATCTACCTGTGTACAGCTGCCACTTACCTGGTCTCTGCTTTCAGGCTTGTCCCCTCCCCCGCACTGCAGTTAGCAATCCTTTCAAGGTACAAACACCGTGTTGGTCCTGCTGAGCTTACACCCCTCCATCACCCCCAGGACACAGTCCAAACTCCTGACCAGAGCCGCGTACACTTCCTCCTTCGCTTGCTCTGGCCTTGGCCTCCTTTCAAGCTCCTGAGTTCCCATGTTTCCCTTCAGTCGGCCAGCTGCAGCCTTATCCTCAGGGAAGGCTCCCCTAACCACCTGCACACCCGCACCCAACGCCCTGTGGGCAGGGGGAGCTGATGTCCTTCATCCAGCACAGGCCTGGCGCCCCATTGTTGCCTAAACGTCCTTCGTTAACGAAGCACGCAGTTCCTTTGTGGATAAGAGGCACATTTACAGTGACTTAGATCACTGTACACAGTTGAGGGGAGTTCACTTCACTTTTGAGTTATTTTGCTTTGATAAGGTGCAATCTTTGGGTACCTTGTCTCTTCTCTTCCCTGAGGTGAGGGTCATCTGTTTACAGAGGAAGCAGCTGGCTCTGGAATGGTCTTTGATTGGCTCCACCCACACCTCCTGGCCAGCTCTCCCCGTGTCCACTCTCCTCCAGGAATGGGCTGCCGGTGTGGGCCGATGGCCACCGTGTCCACCAGTCCCCAGATGGCACACTGCTGATCCACAACCTGCAGGGCAGAGACGAGGGCTCCTACACGTGCAGTGCTTACCGTGGAAGCCAGGCCGTCAGCCGCAGCACGGAGGTGAAGGTGGTCCCGCCAGGTGAGAAAGGCCTCCCCAGGCATTTACTTGTTCTTGAGAGCTGGCTGGCTTCTGCAGAATGAGGCTGAGTGTGGGCTCTGCAGCCCGAGGGTCTCGGGTCCAAATCTTGGCTTGCTCTGCCAGTCACTGGCAGTATGAGTCAGGACAAAGGGCTTAACCCACTCATCTGTCCAGGGGGTGCACCACCGCCCGGTAGGAAATGTGTATGTATGACAGGCAGCTGGTAATAGCTTAATACATGATGTTAAAGATCATTTTTTAGACTTGCTAATCTTATTTTGAGAACTACAATTGCCTGGAACTTCATTATAATACTTAAGGCAGACAGAACCATTAAAATCTGTCCATTCCAATGAAGGTGGCGAAAGGTGATACTATGATTGGAAAGTGCTTTTATGGCCCTTCGATCATATAACCCAGAAAGGAAAAGGCAGGGGGGAGTGTCACCATCTTACAAATGAGACAGACATCCAGGGAGCTCAAGCGGTGTTTCCACAAGTCGCACAGCAAACTTGTGGCCAACTTGGTCCTAGAACCTAGGTCTTTTTGACTCTTCATAGTTAATGTTTTTTTCACTAAACTATTACACCTATAACTGGGCAGAATTTTACCTGTATTATTCAGTAATCTGATATTTTAGCCTTATATTCTCCAGCTCTTGCTTTCTGAGTTGTTATATTATCAAATTTCAACAAATCTAAATACTGTATTGCAAGATGCATTGTTTGCATATCACTAAGGCAAAAGGTTGTCAATTAAATGGCACAATGCTAAGACACCATCAAATACGCAGTCCAACTTGACAGTGTTAACTTGTGAAAATAAATGCATCTTAGAATTGATGAAACAGACTGTGGTTTAATGTTCAAACTCACAAGAGCTCTATGGTCAAGCAAGCCAGAGGGAAAGCGGGGAGAGGGAACTCGGTCCGAGCCCAGCCTGCCCTCCCTGGATCTGCGGTCTGGGCTCACTGACGGAACAGCAGGGCAGTGCCCGGGCCAAGCAGCCGATTCCCATGGGGCTTGAAACAGACCTGGGGGTGAATGTGTCAGGGCCTTTCCTGTGCTGGGCTTCCTGGACGTTCACGACTGTCAGGGCTGCAGCCCTGCACCAGGCAGCTGCCCGCTTCCTGGCTGCCAGGTTGAGGGTGGGAACTGATCGGTACTAGAGGTTGAAGGCCCGGGGTAGAAGTGTTGCTTAGTGAGTTGAACTGACATGCAGGCTTCCAGTTTGTGAGCTTCTCAGAACAGTGACTGGGACTCACTTCCCAGGGCCCACCCAGCTCAGTGCTTGGCATCTCCAGGTGCTCAGATACTTGGTGACAACACCATACTGCTGGGGCTGCTTTTCACCTCTGGCGATGCCCAGCAAATTGATCTTGTCTACATACTAACCAAACTTACAAGACTGAGACAAACCAGAATGCAGGTTTATGAGAGAAAGAGAGCTGTTAGGAGGAGCCTGATGGTCATGTTTGTTGTTAGCTATAGGCATGTCTAGCTGGGAAACCAAATTATAGTGAGAAACTTGCTTGATGAAGGCTGGTGGGGCTCCTGATAACGTGTGGTTGCCAAACTGAAATGGTCTGATGTGACCCACCTCTTGGACAGAACACTGATGGCCTCAGTCAGGCCACTTTTCTCCCACCCATGCTGGACAAGTGTTGTTAATCTTAGATATTTTCGGGGCATCTTTCTTGACTAGAAATGGTCTCCCTCCTAATTGTATTCATTCCATTGATTAGACTGCAGATTTCTGCTCTCAGCCCTTTATGGTTTTTGTGGGGTTTTCCTGCTTGAGTCTGTCTCACTTTGTCCTGGTCATGGTTTGGTGGCATATTGGAATTACAATGTTAGCACCTGAGTGGCATAATGGAATTACAATGTGAGTTGAAACTCTGGGGTAAGGGAAACACTTCTGTGAGGACTTACCAACCTTTTTGCCTAAAAGACTGGTTAGAAACAGAAAATACTGTACAGATAAAACATGGGGTGGGGAAAGGTCACTCACTTTTTTAAATGAGAGAAAATGAAGCTATTGTTACTATGTGCCCAAGGAGCTACTGTTATCTCTATTTCAGATGAGGAAACAGAGGCACAGAGAGCTCAAGTATCTTGCCCAGTCAGCCAGCTGGTTAAGTGGGTGAACCGGGACTGAGCCCGGGCAGTCTTGCTCCAGAGCTGGTGTGCGTAACCACAATGCTGAGCACCTCCTAACATTGGGGCCCCATGACAGGCCCAGGGGCTGCAACAGCTGAGATAGTTGATATGGAAATTACTTAATTAAAAAAACAACAACACATGCATAAACGGCTTGCTGTTCATGTTAATGTAGGTAGTTAGTACTCTCATTATACTGCTATACCAAACCTTTCGAGTCATTTACTGGTTGGGTATGGTCCTTTAGTTGTATTTTGGGAGGAAGCAAGAGGGGATAAGCCTTTCCTAGCCCCGTGATGTCTTTTAGGGAAGGTGCTACTCAGGACTAAGCCAAGTGGGGAGTAACAGCCCCTTCCAGAAAGAAAAGGAAAGTTAAGTAGATGGGCTACTTTAGTCCTAAGATGAAGCAGCAGAATGAAACTCTCACAGGGATTTGTAAGATACAGAAGGTCCTAGTAAATTCTGAGGGGGAGGCAACCAGTGCTCCGTGCTCAGTACCGTATTAGAGCCATCGCGCACAGAACTGTTTTCCTATCACTTTGCCGAATATTCCTGCTTTCTCTGGAGAAAGTGGAAAAATTGGAAAGATGGAGAAACTAAGTGACTAAGATAAGCTGGGACTATTGACAGCACAAAACTTTTGAGGTTGGAGGAAACCAGTGTGCGAGACAGCCAACTCACAATTTTACTTAGGGCTGATCCGAGTCTCTCTCCTTCCTAATCCAGAGGCAAAGGCAGCTGTCATTCAGCATTTCAGGTCTCAATAGTAAGGGGAGGAAGTTAACTTCAAGAGATGTTTAATCATCTAGTCAGTCAATATCTGGGAGTCAGTGATGGGCGGAGGCTGCAAAGGAATAATGGGAGGACCACCGCTGCATGCTGAAGTAAGACCAGCAAAGGATGGAAATTGACTTCTGGTCAAAATGGCAGAGTAGGTAAACGCTGTGCTCATCTCCCATGAGCACATCAAAATTACAAGTAAGAGGGCCGGCCGAGTGGCGCGATGGTTAAGAACTGGCTTGGGATGCCAGAGGGCCCCAGTTCAGATCCTACATATGAGGGCCAGTGACACTGCCCTCTACAGCTAAGATGCTGAACAACAGCTCGACCTGGAGCTGGGCTGCCGTGAGTTGCCCTCCCCCAATTCCCCAATAAAAAAAAAAAAAAAAAAAAAAGAATTGGGAGGGATATCTTGGCTGTCGAGGTCCTCCCTGAAAAGTGAGGGCTCCCAGCCCTGGGGTACCA